CACTGAGGGGTCTGTCCCCCCCGAGGGGGACCAGCCTCTTGCAGCAGTGGAGCTGCCAGAGGGCTGGACCTGCATCCCCCTGTGGGCACACCAACAGCAGCACCAGGGCTGCTCACACCCTCAGCCACTGCATGTGCAGGCACCAATGTGCTGGGAAGTGCCAGAGAAAGAAAGCGGTTTTGTACTAATTCCCTTAATTCATTCACATCAAATGTCACTGCAGCGTCATATAAAAGTCTTTTGTGATTTTAAAACAAATGGTCCCTGAGGCAGGAAAATAGTTATAGTGCTATTTCTAAAATTAATTTAATTCTGTGGAATAGAAATAAAAAAAGTGCCTGCTCAGTTGCACAAGCATCACAAATAGCACTGGAACACTTCTGGAGAGGCTTTTCAGCTGCACTCACCCAGGGTTTGCCAGCCCTTTGCCAGCCCTGGCACCAGGAGCCTCACGCTGGGCAGCGCTGGGGGCACAGCCCCCAGGGACACACGGTGCCACCCCCAGGGACACACAGTGCCACCCCCAGGGACACACGGTGCCACCCCCAGGGTCACAGTGCCACCCCCAGGGACACACGGTGCCACCCCCAGGGTCACACAGTGCCACCCCCAGGGTCACACAGTGCCACCCCCAGGGACACACGGTGCCACCCCCAGGGACACACGGTGCCACCCCCAGGGTCACAGTGCCACCCCCAGGGACACACGGTGCCACCCCCAGCTCACTGTCCCTCTGGCAGGGGGACACGCTGCCCTCCCCCAAAGAATCCCAGACTGGTTTGCGTTGGAAGGACCCCAAATCCCACCCAGTGCCACCCTGCCACGGCAGGGACACCTCCCACTGTCCCAGGGACCCCAAATGCCACCCAGTGCCACCCTGCCATGGCAGGGACACTCCCAGTGTCCCAGTGCTTCAGCCCCAGTGTCCAGCCTGGCCTGGGCACTGCCAGGGATCCAGGGGTAGCCACAGCTGCTCTGGGCACCTGTGCCAGGGCTGACCTCCTTCACAGCCAGGGATTTTTTCCCCAACACCTAACCAAAATCTCCCCTCCTTCATTTTAAAGCCACTCTTTCTCGTCCTGCCACAACAGGCCCTGCTAAAGGTTTGTCCCCATCTATTTTATTGTCTCCATGGTCACTGGTGCCCCCAGAGCCAGGGGTTGGTGCCCAGAGGGTCCCTGCACCCCGTGGGGAGCTGGGCCCAGGGCCCATCCCCGCTCCAAACATCCCAGTGCTCAGCAGACAACGTGACAAATTTGGTTTAACTGTTTTGATGTAATAATGTAATTAGGTAAAAGGGTTCAGCAACCAATTGCATTTCACTAATTTCAACCATCTGCTTCAGCACTTGTTCTGTGTGTGCCAGACTTCAGTGTCTTTGCTCTAATAGTAATTAATGAAACTGTTAATAAGCTACATACATCATATGATGCTTCAATAATTTATCAAAGGATAATGTTATGAGACAAATTCTATATAACAATTACAGAAAATGGCTTACATTACTGATGCTGCACAGTGCTCACTAGTTTCTTTACTCTTCCCTTCTTAATGAATTCCCTAATTAATTTAATGCATACGTTATGCATAATTTGAAATTTAAAAACATCGCTGGGTCAGGTTTTAACCATCCTCTTTTACATGCTGTCTGCTTCTACAAGGCACATATTAGCAAAACATGACCTCTATGCAAATCGGGGTGCCCCTGCTGTTGCCGTTCCCGGTGACGGCGGCAGCGCTCCGGCACGCTCCTGTGCCACGGCATGGAGTGCCAGCAGATTCACCAGGGGCATGCCACGCCAAACCCAGCCACCAGCAGCTGTTCCAGCCTCTGACGTGTGAGCAGCCCTGGTTTGGGGACAGCTGCCTTCGTCACACATCGTGCAGACACACCGCCATCCAACACCATCCTCGCTGCCCTCACCGGGACACCGAGCTCAGCTTACAAATCCAGGAACCTTCCAGAACACAAATGCAAACTTCAGCCTCTTCATCTTCAGATTTTTAAGCATCCAGCACACAACTGCACAGTATTCCCCAGTTTTCTGCCTCTACAGCTGTGGGGTTGTCCTGCAGAACATGACCCCAAGCTCTTCCAAAGTTCCTGTTTTCACTCCCATCTGACTGGGTGGAGGCTTCCAGAACAGCACCAAACCCCCCAGGGGGACAGGGCACTCCAACTTCAGTGTTTCCTTCAGTGGGACAGTGGGAGGTGTCCCTGCCCATGGCAGGGTCTGGAACTGGATGAGCTTTAAGGTCTCTTACAACCCAAACCATTCTGAGATTCTTGTGCTCCGTGGAGGAAATCAATTTACCAAGCCAGCCAGGCTTTGGCAAGAGATCATTCCCTCACGAATCCTCTTTGGGCAAGATATTATTTACATCGCTAAAATATTATATAGAGACCTGAGTGAGTTATATGAACATTTCCTTATCTTCTGGGACACTTCTGGCTGAAAAAGTGTTGAGTTTTCATCTTCAAGCAAGATTGCTTCCGTGCTTTTCCATCTGACGCGTCAGATTATTTTAATGATGGAGTACTTGATTAAATTAATTCCTCCCTACAAAAGCAGCTGTCTTGTGTCATGGAATCTGTTCAGCTATCTGGAGCATTTGTACGTGCCAGGGAGGAGAGCCAAAGTGCAGAGCATGCGGAGGGAGTGCCTGACCACGCGGAGACGACTTTGTCACAGCGCGTGAGGCTGCAGCTCAGCGGGTGACCCGGGTCACTCCCGCCCCAGCAGGGCTGGATCCTGTGCCCAGGGATGAGGGAAGGGGCTGCTGGCCTGGCCCACTGGCAGAGGAACACCCTTCAGCAGCTCCGGGTGTCCTGCCACATGCCACCGTGTCCCTGTGCGTGTGCTGAGCCCTAAAACACGGCCTGGGGTGCGCTGGCACGGCCCAGCAGTGGGGACTCAACCACCCGAGGGAGGGTCAGCAAGGGGAAAGCACCCAATGAAAATGGAAATGTTGTACCAGCACGGTGAATAAAGCACAGACCGTCTGTGTCAAACTTTTATTTCTAAACAAACAGAATTGTTGCATTTCTGTTCATCTCTTGCTTACTCTCACGCTGCTGTGCATCTTTTTTTCCTTTAGAGAGTTTTTGCAATCTTATCCTTCCCTCCCTCTCACTGAGAATCCCCAAGTACCATCCACACATGCAAATCCTTCAGATTCAGAGCTGCCTGCCACGTCTGAAGGAGCTTGCTTGGCAAAGAAAAGCCTTGGAAAAACAACAGAATGGCCATTTCTTTGTTTTCCATCCCACAATGTAACCATAGGCTGGGTTTTGATATTACTAGTTTTTGGAAGTATGAATATTAAAGTAATTTTTTCCACTTACTTCTTTTCAAAATTCATGTGCACTGCCGTGGGTTGGAGCCCTTTATTTAACAAAATCTCCTGCTTTGGGATTTGGGATACAGCGCATTGCTATTACATTTATTAATACCAGAGAACTTTAGGAGAGTTTAAGCTAACTTTGATAAAGCTGCAAAATACCAGCTCAGGCTTTTTTTCTTTCACTTCAGTGCCTGTATCCTGAGTTCTCAGAACTGCTGCCCAGGCCGTGCCGTGGGCAGAGTGCCCGCTGTGTGTGTGCCAGCGTGCCAGCGCTGCTGGTGACAGCCCCTGGCTCCCGGACAGGGCGGGGGGCAGACACTGTCCGAGGTGCGGTGTTGCCCCCTCGCTGCTGTGCCCTCGGGGGGCTCCGGCGGGGCTGTCCCAGCACGCAGAGCTCACCCTGCAGGAGTTACCCCCGCACAGAGCATCTCCCAGAAACGCAGCCCCACACAGGCTCCCCCAGAGGAACAGCTTCTCCCGAGCCCGGGCACAGCGCGGGATCGACACCCGGGTGCCAGTCCATGGCTACAGCCACTGACCAGCTCGCTGGGGCTGCCCGCTGTTCTCAGGGTGCCCTGCACGCCTCAGCCCCCAGGCTGGAGCACCTGGGGCCGGCGGGCAGCCCCAGCCTCAGCTGCTGGCGCTGCCAGGACAGCCAGGACAGCCAGGACAGGACAGCCAGGACAGGCAGGACAGGCAGGACAAGACAGCCAGAACAGCCGGGACAGCCGGGACAGCCAGCAGAGCTGGCACTGCCGGCACAGCCGCATGGCCAGGACAGCCACAACCTCCTGGAGAGCCACCGCAGCCAGTGCAGCCGGGACACATGGCACAGCTGGCACAGCTGGCACGGCCAGGACAGGCGGCACACTGCGCATCCCGGTCCGCGGGCACAGCCAGCACTGCCAGCAGAGCCTGCCACGTCCCAGCCTGCCGGCCAGGAGCACGGGCAGGAGCAGGAGGGTGGTGGCTCCTCGCCGGTTCCTTTCTCGTCGTTCTCCGGCTCAGCCCACCGGAGGCTGCCGTGTCCGCCAGCGTGGCTGCCGTGCCCTGTAATCGAGCGGGATGTGGAACACACCCACGTCCTCAGCAGCGGCTCAGCGCCAGCTGCCACGTGGAGCAGGGACACGCACGGCTCCCCCGGGCCACGGCCCTCGGCCCCCGGCGGGGACCCCCGAGACAGCCTCGGGCAGAGGCGCCCCGAGCCGCATCACCGATCCCGGGATGTCCCCGAGCCACATCACCGATCCCGGGATGTCCCCGAGCCACATCACCGATCCCCGGGATGTCCCCCCAGCCGCATCCCCGATCCCCGGGGTGTCCCCCCAGCCGCATCACCCATCCCCGGGATGTCCCCCGAGCCGCATCCCCGATCCCCGGGGTGTCCCCCCTGCCGCACCACCCATCCCCCGGGCTGTCTCCTTCGAGGCACAGCCCCGCTCCCCCCGGCGTGTCCCCCCGGGGCCGGGCGGGTCCCCGGCTCGGGTTCCAGCGCGGGCGGTCCCGGCGCGGGGTGGGGCGGGTCAGCCGCGTCCCGGCCCCATCCCCGGCCCATCCCCGGCCCCATTCCCGCCCCATCCCCGGCCCATCCCCATCCCCGGCCCATCCCCATCCCCGGCCCATCCCCGGTCCCGGCCCCATCCCCGGCCCCGGTCCCGGCCCGCCTCCCGCTCCGCCGGCCCGCCCGGGATGAGCGGGCTGCGGCGGCTGTTCCGCGGCAGCGGGCGGGCCTTGGCCTTGGTGTTCGCCGCCTCGGTGGCCTGGCTGCTGCTGGACATGGCCGCGCTCCGCCTCTCGCTCGGCGAGGCGGGCGGGCGGCTGCTGCGGGAGGCGGCGGGGCGCGGGCCGGGGATGGGGCCGGGGATAGGGATGGGGATGGGGCCGGGGATGGGGCCGGGAACGGGGATGGGGCCGGGGATGGGGCTGGGAACGGGGATGGGAACGGGGATGGGACTGGGGCAGCCCGGAGCAGCCCCCGGCGGGCGCGGGGCCGGGGCCCCGGGGCCATCCCCCCCTCCCCGGCAGCCCCCGGCCCCCGGCGGGACGGGCACGGCGCCGCCCGGAGCCCCCGGGAACCGGCAGCGCCCCTCGGGCACGGCGGGACGGACCGGAGCTGCGCCAGGGGAGACAGACACGGGACGCGGAGAAATTCCCCCCGAAACTCGCTTCGTCCTCATCAGCGAAGGGGGAATGAGCCCCGCAGCCCCGCGCCGCGGGCCCCACTCTGCGGGGAGCGCCACAGCCAGACGTGGAAAGCACAAAGAGCTGGCTGGCAAGGGCAGCGATGGTGCCCACGCTGAGACTGCCACTGCCGGGGCCACGGCCGTGGGTGGCCCGAGCCGGACGCTGGGTGCGACACCGGGAGCAGCTCCTGGAGCGGCTGGCACGGGCCAGGATGGACAGGAGCAGAAGGGAGCAGCTCCTGGAGCGGCTGGCACTGGCAGGGATGGACAGGAGCAGGCAGGAGAAGCTCCTGGAGTGGTTGGCACTGGCCGGGATGGACAGGAGCGGGCAGGAGAAGATCCTGGAGTGGCTGGCACTGGCAGGGATGGACAGGAGCAGGCAGGAGAAGCTCCTGGAGCAGCTGGCACTGGCAGGGATGGACAGGAGCAGGCAGGAGAAGCTCCTGGAGTGGCTGGCACTCACCAGGATGGACAGGAGCAGGCAGGAGAAGCTCCTGGAGTGGCTGGCACTCACCAGGATGGACAGGAGCAGGCAGGAGAAGCTCCTGGAGTGGCTGGCACTCACCAGGATGGACAGGAGCAGGCAGGAGAAGCTCCTGGAGCAGCTGGCACTCACCAGGATGGACAGGAGCGGGTAGGAGAAGCTCCTGGAGCGGCTGGCACTGGCGGGGATGGACAGGAGCAGAAGGGAGAAGCTCCTGGAGCAGCTGGCACTCACCAGGATGGACAGGAGCAGGCAGGAGAAGCTCCTGGAGCGGCTGGCACTCACCAGGATGGACAGGAGCAGAAGGGAGAAGCTCCTGCAGCGGCTGGCACTGTCCGGGATGGACAGGAACAGGCAGGAGCAGCTCCTGGAGCAGCTGGCACTCACCAGGATGGGCAGGAGCAGGCAGGAGAAGCTCCTGGAGCGGCTGGCACTGACCAGGATGGACAGGAGCAGGCAGGGAGCCGCCCCGGGATGCACAGAGTCCTGTCCATGGATGCAACACTCGCCCCAAGAGACCCCCGAGCTCCAGGCCAGTTTGGACATCCTGTTGCTGTCCCTGATGATAAACAAGAAGAAGCAAAAAGTCGATGGAAAGAAGGAAATTTCAATGTCTACCTCAGCGATCTGATCCCTGTGGATCGAGCCATCACCGACACCAGGCCTGCCGGGTAAGATCTGCTCCCCTTGCACAAACCCTGTGCTGCACCCTGGGCTGGCTCCGTGGCTCTGGGGAGGGCTGCTGGGGCACATCCAGCCCTCCACTTCAGCAGTGCTCCCTGTCAGATGGCTCCTGCCTGTCCAGCTCAGGGCAGCCTGTTGTTAAACATAAAACTGAGTCAAGTTTGCAGGTTGTCATAACCCACTGGGCCCAGCTGCCCCAAGGGGCAGGACAGCCAGCACAGGTGATGGGGCTCAGGCCTCTCTGTGCCTTGGGACGCTGTGCCTGGTGTGCCAGGTACAGCTCTGGTTACCTGGTGTGCCAGGTACAGCTCTGGTTACCTGGTGTGCCAGGTACAGCTCTGGTTACCTGCTGTGCCAGGTACAGCTCTGGTTACCTGGTGCACCAGGTGCAGCTCTGAGCACTCAGAATTCGTGTCTTGGTTCTCTTGCCCTTCCTACAGACACCTCTCAGCCCCTGGGCAGGTGACAGACCCCCTTGTCCCTGCTCCCACGCTCACAGACCGTGGGTACAGCGGGCTGGGAATTGTGCCATGATTGTCCCCTGTGCCACAGGACGGTGCCACCGTGCTGGTGGCACTGGCTGAGGTGAGACCTGCACCAGGGGAGGCAGCTGGGGCTGCTTTCTGATCCACCTGGGCACAGGAGCAGAGCCACAGTGGCACACAGCCAGCCCTGGCGGGTCTGGCAGCGGAGCCCCGGAGCTGCGGAGCAGGAAGCGCCTCCGGCAGTGGCACAGCTGCCCTGGAGGAGACCTTTGCTCTCACGGGAACACCTTGGCCAAACAGGGCCTGTCCCCGGGACAGGAGCTGCTGCCACGGGCACGGAGCTGCCCTGGGCACCCCGGTTCTGGCAGGAGCCTGTGCAGGCTCTGTGCCCACCCGCTGGCACAAACAGCTTGTAAGGACAGCTCAGGGCAGTGGGTGGTGGCAGCTCGTGGCAGACAACAATTTTTTTTTGTGTACTCCAGTGTCTCCCAATTTAGACTCCAGTTCCTGTTGTGGTTCTTCCTGGAGTACTGGACTGGACACTGACATCTGGCCAATCCATGCCTCTCCGTGCTCAGTGCTCGCTGCTTTTGGAGCTTTCCTGGCAGGGCTGGCGCTGTGGGTGCTGTGTCCCTGCAGCTGGGGTGGGGGACAGGGCCCTGAGGAGCAGTGGGGTGGGCAGAAGGCTCCTGGGGAGCACAGGTCCTGCACAGCATCAGGAATCCTGGGCTGAGAAGGCTCCAGAGAGGCCCTAGAGCCCCTTCCAGTGCATAAAGGCTCCAAGAGAGATGAAGAGGGACTTTGGGTAAGGGCTGGAGTGCCAGGATAAGGAGCAGTGGTTTCCCACTGCCGGGGGCAGGGATAGTTGGCATGTTGGGAGGGAATTCTTCCCTGTGAGGGTGGGGAGGCCCTGGCACAGGTTTCCCTGAGAAGCTGTGGCTGCCCTGCCCCTGGAAGTTTGAGGGCAGGCTGAATGGGGTTCCGAGCAACCTGGTTTAGTGGAAGGTGTCCCTGCCCAGGGGAGCCACTGGAAGGAGTTGGGCTTTGAGTTCCCATCCAACCCAAACTATTCCAGGATCCTCTGGTGGAGGACAAAGGGAGCATGACCCATTCTGCTCACCAGCTGCCCAGCAAGGTGAGGCAGGCCTGCATCCAAAATGGACTTTTTGGTGTTTTCTGCCCACTGACCTCCCTGAGGCAGAAAGACACATCTCAAGGATTGTGACACAGTAATTGTGGGGTGAATTTCACCTAGCCAGAGCACTTCTGGTTAACTGTGAAGCCCTGAAATACCTCTACGTTTCCTTCAGAAGGGGTTCCTGTCAGAACCGAGTCCATCCTGCCCCATGGGGCTGCCCATGAGGGGCCCTGGGGCAGGGTGGGGTGTTCCCCCCTCAGCCCTGCTCCCCTCCCAGCACTGCAGGGCTTTCCCTCTGTATGTCGTCGGGCATTTCCCTTCCCTGCACGTTTTCCCAGGAGCACCAAGGCTGCAGATTTCCAGGTGGGACTGGCCATCAGCTCTGAGCCCGTGTTGCCGTTGCAGGTGCTCTGAGCAGCAGGTCCATGACGACCTGCCGACCACCAGCATCATCATGTGCTTCGTGGACGAGGTGTGGTCCACCCTGCTGCGCTCCGTGCACAGCGTCCTCGGCCGCTCTCCCCCACACCTCATCCAGGAGATCATTCTGGTGGATGACTTCAGCACCAAGGGTAGGTGAAGCTTCTGCTGCCTTTATGAAACTAATATAACTGGAGGGCAAAATGCAATTTGTCCTTTGTAATTCAATTCTAAGCAGGAGAGAAATGACATTTTCTCCTTGCGCTGTATTGAAGTGCATCCTGCCCTGCTCTGGGGCTGAGGGGGATCAGAGGACGGGGGTGCTGGGGCTGGCTGGGGGAGGAAGGCACAGGCTGCTGGAGGCTCCGGGGGCACCAGGGAGCTGGGTCCTGCCCAGACCATCCGTCTTTTCTGGCTCAAGGGCTTGTGTGAGCAGAGATGCTCTCAGCCCTCGGTGTGCAGCTCCCAGGCAGGTGCCCTGTGCTCCAGTGTGGGAATCCAGGGCTTCCCTCTGGCTGCCCTGGCAGGTCTGGGACCCTGGCAGGGGGTCAGGAACCCCCCTGGACAGAGCCCCCAGAGACACTGGCTGTGATCTCTGTCCATGGAAAAGAGTTTTCAATCTTACAGGATCAATTACAAGCTCTGAGTGTTTGATAAGAGTAATAATTAAGTGTGACACGGGTGCAAAAGTAAAATTTTAGGATTCTAGATTAGGGGTCCAAAGGGGACAAGATGGAGGAAATTGGGTGTGCCTTGTCCTTTTTCTCCTTCTTCATGCCCTCCATGTTTCACTGTGGTGTTGGCATTTTTCTGTTGGTTCAGGCTGGGGACACACTGTCCAACGTAGGTGACAGATATTGGCACGTTATTGTAAATCCAGCACAGGTAGTTTGTGGTATTTAATGTTTGTACCATCCCACTGAGGGCAGAGCCCCACACGCTGCCCTGCAGGACAGAGCTGCGGCAGGGCAGCAGAACATGTTAGAGATAAACAGAATAAACAACCTTGAAACAGCACAGACCAATTATGGCTTCTGCTTTGGCAGCGGGGCTGACAGACAGAGACTTTTACAATCTCGGAATCATCAATAGCTCAGATTCCGACACTCCAGCGTGGGGAACACGCTCCGGGGCGGCTCAGGGGGCGGGGGGCTGCAGTGGGAGCAGTGCAATGGGAGCACTGCCCATGGGAGCAGCCAGCCCCGCAGTGTGCCCCGCAGTGTGACACTGCCCCTCTCTGCTGGGCTCAGCCCTTCCCAGCTGAGCAGCCGTGTCCCTTCCCTGCTGCCACCTCTCAGCAGCGCTGTGTCGGACGGGCTCGGAGCTCACGCCACGGGCACAGAGCTCCCACCACGGGCACAAGGAGCCGTGCCCACATGTTCACACCCAGAGCCGAGCGCCCGGCGTGCCCGGAGGCACCTCCAGGGCAAACCTGCTGGTCTCACCGTGTCGGAGGGCGCAGGGGTGAGCCAGGTCCCTGTCCCCTCTGCAGAGCACCTCAAGGAGCCGCTGGACGCGTACATGTCGCGCTTCCCCAAGGTGAAGATCCTGCGCCTCCGGGAGAGGCACGGGCTGATCCGGGCCAGGCTGGCGGGAGCCCAGGTCGCCACAGGTAGGACAGGAGCCGTGCTCAGCCCTGTGGGGACCCAGAGGTGCTGGGCGCCCCTCTCCAGCACGGCGTTCGTCCCTCCCGGTGCACCAGGGGTGTCCTTGTGCCACCATCTCCAGCCCCAGCTCCACCCCCTGCCCCAGCCAGGCTGTGTCAGCACCAGAATGGCCATTTCTGTCAGCAGCTGCCCTGCCAAGCAGGCAAAAAGCGCTCTTGGCTGTGGCTGGGCAGGTCTGGGGAGCCAAGGAGGGCCATGGCACAGTCAGCAGCAGCCCGAGCCCACAGGAGATGCTCAGCAGGGCAGGGCTGGAGGCTGATCCTCCCCCCTGTGCTGTAGGTGCCGTGCTGACGTTCCTGGACTCGCACGTGGAGTGCAACGTGGGCTGGCTGGAGCCGCTGCTGGAGCGCATCCGCCTGCGCCGGACCAAGGTGGCCTGCCCCGTCATCGAGGTCATCAGCGACAAGGACATGAGGTGAGGCGGTGATACAGGTGAGGCGGGTGGTACAGGAGGTGATACAGGAGGTGAGGTGGGTGATACAGGAGGTGAGATGGGTGATACAGGTGAGATGGGTGATACAGGAGGTGAGGCAGGTGATACAGGAGGTGATACAGGAGGTGAGATGGGTGATACAGGTGAGGTGGGTGATTCAGGAGGTGAGGTGGGTGATACAGGAGGTGAGATGGGTGATACAGGTGAGGTGGGTGATTCAGGAGGTGAGGTGGGTGATACAGGAGGTGAGGTGGGTGATACAGGAGGTGAGACAGGTGATACAAGAGGTGAGATGGGTGATACAGGAGGTGAGGCAGCTCGGCCCTGGCAGCACCACCATCCAGGCTGCTGTCCTGGGCAAAGCCTGGCACCGCCCCTGGATCCACTGCAGGCCATGGAGCCGTGACTCCAGACCCCCTCACCGGCCTCCAGAGCTTTCCACAGGGACACAGAAGGTGGCTGTCCACCCAAAATTAGGTGTGGCCCATGTTTATCACACACCTTTTTGCTTTTTCACAACTTTTAGTACATGGAGAGGATTCCTGATGAAATTTGCTAAATTCCTGGTTTAATTACCTACAGATATTCATCTTCTCTCATTAGGGGTGACATTTCAATCAGCAACGTGACTCAGAATTAGTCAGCCTGATCTTTCCTCTGTTTAGTTACATGACCGTGGACAACTTCCAGCGCGGGATTTTTACTTGGCCAATGAATTTTGGATGGAGACAGATTCCACAAGAGGTCATTGAGAAAAATAAGATCAAGGAAACTGATATAATAAGGTAAATAAAAGAAATGTGAGAGCTTTGCAAACCAACCCGTTCCTTTGGTAATAATTTAGCAGCAGAGGCTTCTTCGAGTCCAAATGCTGTTCTTTTGGGGCCAAGTATCGCTCCTCTGCTTTCCAGGGCAGGTGAGGCACAGGCAATCCCCCCACCAGGCACGGGCAAAGCCCAGGAAGCCTTTCTCCCCACTCATGGCACCGCTGGTGTGTCAGCCAGGAGAACATTTCACTGCTTTTTTCCCTTCCCTGCCCCATTACAGCTCTCAGGTCAGGTAAAGCCATCCCAACGCCCGCTCTGTCACAGCCAGTGACACACCGTGTGGCCTCTCTGTTCCCAGGTGCCCCGTCATGGCAGGTGGCCTGTTCTCCATCGACAAGAAGTATTTTTCTGAGTTGGGAATGTACGACCCAGGACTGGATGTCTGGGGAGGGGAAAATATGGAGCTTTCATTCAAGGTAGGTCGCTGTCACACACCTGGGTGAGTGATGGCCTCGGGTGGGGCTCCCCAGGGACAGCCCCATCTCCCTGGGCACCTGACCCCCTTCTCTTGGCTTGCACAAGGCAGCGCCCACCCTCAGCTCTGTCCTTCTGACCTCTGTTCCTCAGGTCTGGATGTGCGGAGGAGAGATCGAGATCGTTCCCTGCTCCAGAGTGGGGCACATTTTCAGGAACGACAATCCCTATTCCTTCCCAAAAGAGCGGGTGAGGACGGTGGAGAGGAACCTGGCCCGCGTGGCAGAGGTGTGGCTGGACGAGTACAAGGAGCTGTTCTACGGGCACGCCTACCACCTGCTCCTGAGCGCCGTGGACGTGGGCGACCTGCGCCCGCAGAGCCGGCTGCGGGAGCAGCTGCGCTGCAAAACCTTCCGCTGGTACCTGCAGAACGTCTACCCGGACCTGGAAGCGCCCCTGGTCAAAGCCAGCGGGCTGGTACGTCCCCAGGGGCTGTTCCCAGGGCAAGCTGTGCCCTGGCAGTGCCCACTGCCGCCGGCGCCCCGGCCTTGGGCAGCGTTTGGGTGGGTGACACGGCACGGAGGCAGCTTTACACAGAAACAGATCCCAGGGAGACGGTAACTTCCCTCCGGAGAGCTGCTGGGTGTCTGGGGGGCCCAGCCGGGCACACGGCAGTGCCAGACAGGCCGTGCCAGGGGCTGGATGTGCCCGCAGGGAGAAACCCCTCCATGCCAAGGGCTGGATGTGCCCGCAGGGAGAAACCCCTCTGTGCTGGGACGTGGTGCCAGGGGCTGGATGTGCCCGCAGGGAGAAACCCCTCTGTGCCAAGGGCTGGATGTGCCCGCAGGGGGAAACCCCTCCATGCTGGGACATCCCACCTCGGGGGGCCCAGGGGATCCCAGCCCTGCCCCCTGCCCCAGCTCGGGGGCTACAGAGTGGTGTGGGGTCTGTAGGAACAGGGTCTGTGGGAAAAGGGTCTGTAGATGCAGGGGTCTGTGGGAATAGGCTCTATAGGACCGGGGCTGTGGGAACAGGCTCTATAGGACCGGGGTCTGTGGGAACAGGCTCTGTAGGACCGGGGTCTATGGGAACAGGCTCTATAGGACCAGGGTCTATGGGAACAGGCTCTATAGGACCGGGGTCTGTGGGAACAGGCTCTATAGGACCGGGGTCTGTGGGAACAGGCTCTATAGGACCGGGGTCTGTGGGAACAGGCTCTATAGGACCGAGGTCTATGGGAACAGGCTCTGTAGGACCGGGGTCTATGGGAACAGACTCTGTAGGGCCGGGGTCTGTGGGAACAGGCTCTATAGGACCAGATCTGTGGGATCAGGCTCTGTAGCACGGCTCGCCGCCAGCAGAGCGCAGCAGCCGCTCGCGTTCCCGGCGCTGCGGGACCGGGAGGAGCCCCGGCACCGCTCCGGGCACGGAACCCGCTCCTCGCCGGGGGCAGCGAGCAGAGGGCCCTGTAAAGTCCTTTTGGGTTCACTGCTGCCTGCACAAACCTCTGCCTGGCGCCTGGGGAGAGCAACCGGGTCAGGCTTCCCCTCTCCTCCAGCCTCAGGTGGAAAGGGACCTTAAAGCTCAGCTTGTTCCATCTCCTGCCATGGGCTGGGAAACCTTTCACTAGACCCCGGTGCTCCAAGCCCCTCCAGCCTGGCCTGGAGCACTCCTTTCTGCCTCCCTTAGTTATGTGGACAGGATTAATCAGAGTCCTGTGAGCCCAGCGGGTTCAGTGCACTGTAACATCCTCTCCCCCATCTTGGGAATTTCTGCCTAAATCTGCATTTTGTTGCTGTTTCCCAGCTCATGAACGTGGCCCTGGCGGGGTGCATCGCTGTGGAAGGCACCACGCTGGCTTTTCGGGAGTGTGATGTTAACAACCCGGTAAGGACAGCCTGCACGCAGCCCGGGGTGCCACTGAGGGGCAGGAGCTGCCCGAGGGGCAGGAGATGCCCCAGGGGAGCTGCCCGAGGGGCAGGAGCTGCCCGAACTGCCCGAGGGGCAGGAGCTGCCCACTGGCACGGCCTGCAGCCAAGCAGCAGCGTCAGACACAGCAAACCCCTCTGGTCAGGGAAGTCTGATAAAGCTTTGAGCTTGCACATGAAAACAGAAAGATTTACACAGCAGCCTGTGATCTGTGTGCTGGAAGAGCAGCTGTGCCTTACAGCCCTTTCAGTGCCCAGCTCCCAGAGAAGGACCCCGAGTGCCAGGACACAGGGAATGCCTCCCCGCTGCAGAGGGCAGGGCTGGGTGGGAGATTGTGAAGGGATGCCCGGCTGGAGGCTGGTGAGGCACGGCTGCAGCGGGCAGGGCTGGGTGGGAGATCGGGAAGGGATGCCCGGCTGGAGGCGGGTGAGGCACGGCTGCAGAAGGCAGGGCTGGGTGGGAGGTGGGGAAGGGATGCCCGGCTGGAGGCACAGCTGCAGAGGGCAGGGCTGGGTGGGAGATGGGGAAGGGATGCCCGGCTGGAGGCACAGCTGCAGAGGGCAGGGCTGGGTGGGAGATCAGGAAGGGATGCCCGGCTGAAGGCGGGTGAGGCACGGCTGCAGAGGGCAGGGCTGGGTGGGATATCGGGAAGGGATGCCCGGCTGGAGTGGGTGAGGCACGGCTGCAGAGGGCAGGGCTGGGTGGGAGATTGGGAAGGGATGCCCGGCTGGAGGCGGGTGAGGCACAGCTGCAGCGGGCAGGGCTGGGTGGGAGATGGGGAAGGGATGCCCGGCTGGAGGCGGGTGAGGCACAGCTGCAGAGGGCAGGGCTGGGTGGGAGGTCATGGGAGATCAGGAAGGGATGCCCGGCTGGAGGCGGGTGAGGCACGGCACAGGCTGCCCAGAGCGGCTGTGGCCAGCCCTGCCCTGGAGCCTGACGGGCCGTGTCTGTTCCTGCTCTCCCACAGAACCAGACGTTCAACTACACCTGGCTGAGGTTGGTGCAGCACGGAGAGCTCTGCCTCGCCCCGGCCGGCGTGCTGGGAGCCGTGGGCCTGCGCCGCTGCCAGGGCAGGAGCCGCAGCCTGGCCTGGCTCCACAGGTCGCTGGCCGCTGCCCTGCCAGGGCTGGTGAGTGATGCTGCAGGAGGGGTCAGGGATGGCCCTGCCTGCCCAGCGCGGTCAGGGAGCCCGGAGAGCGCTGAGGGGGCACAGCCCGGCACAGGGGCACCCCACCTTCTGCTGCCCGCTTAGCCGAGGCCACTGTCCCCTAGAGACGTGCTGGTGCCCAGGCCCTGTCCCTCGTGCCCTTCTGCCAGGGCCCTGTCCATCCCAGTGCCGAGCACCCCAGCACGGCTGCCAGGCTGGGGACACTGGGGGACGTGCGGGTGCTGCCACAGCCGCAGCAGCAGCTGCAAAACAGCCAAAACAGCCTGGTTTTACACAGAAACCGTCAATAGCACTTAAAGGGAGATGAGTCAGCATCGATTGGCTCTCAGCTCGCAGGCGTTTTTAAAGACAGCACTTATGGAAAGGAGAAGAATGGTACTCACACTAATTGCCTGCTCTGCACAAAAAGCCATGGCTGTACCTCTGTCAGCCTGGTGTAAGCAGTTGTCCAAAATGCTCTGAAATGGTATAGTCTATTGTTGAGAAATAAACACCCTTCAGTTAAGAAAGAAAAAATGTAGCATTCAATATACAGACAATTTCCTGTTGCCCTTTGGACTTTTCAGCCTAAAGTTGAATGCCAGAATGCAACAGGCTCATGTTGGGTGTTTAGGGAAAAATACAGGAAAATTTTTATCCACTTACTGAAAACTGTGAAATTGTCATTTCACTTTGTGAAAAATATGCAGAAATGCCCAAGGAGCTCTATGGGGCACAGGCAGGTCTTGTCTCCTGTTGCAGCCTGATTTCTCAGCTGAGGGTGAGATGGATTTGGTGGTGCTCTTCACTGGTGCCAGCAAGAGGAGTCTGAAGGAGTTGCAGTGCTTTGCCCTCTCCTGACATCAGGCATTGTGTTGTCCAAGGGTGTGAATTCAGTGCAGTTCCTGTCTGTGTCTGCCCAGACCCCCTGCACACATCACAGCAGCAGTGTTCCCCTGGTGTTACCGAGCTGCTCCTGAGGGTCACTGCAGTGCCAGGAGGGGCATGGCAATGTCCCTTGCCTGCGGCAGCACCTGCAGCATCACCTGGCTGGCCACAGGGGTTAGAGAGGCCAATCCAGCAGATGTGAAAAGCGAAAGGATGGAGGTCACTCAGACTCTTCATTCTTTTCCTGCCCCAGCACTTGAGCTCAGGGTCTGAGTTACCTGACATCCCTGTCAGTGCAGTGCCTGTGCCAGGCTCGTCAGCCGATGAGCTAAACACAGAAATCAGCCTCCTGCTGCATGTTCCCTGCGGAGCAGATCCCATCCGAGTGATTCCCTCGGGATGGCCATTGCCACACAGGCAGTGAGAGAGCTCATCCCTCTGTTCCCAGCCAAGGAAAGTCCAGGACAGGACTGGACAGGTGTGGTGTGACTGCACAGCTGTGCTGTGACTGAATAGGTGTGCTGTGACTGCACAGGAGTGCTGTGACTGCACAGGTGTGCTGTGACTGCACAGGTATCGTGTGGTCCCGGCTCAGCAGCAGCTGCAGCCTTGGATCCCAAGCCAAAGTTCCTGTAAATCAGCAGAGATATCTCAGGTATTAGGGACGAGCCAATGAAGGGCACAGTGTAAGGAGCTGGGCTTTCTCAGAGGGAAAGCAGAGCTGCTGCTTCAGGAGCCCCAAAGCCTGAGTGACCCCTAAGCCTGAGCCCCCCAAAGCCCAGCTCCCCAAAACCCAGCCCCCCAAAGCCCGGCCCCCCAAAGCCCAGCTCCCCAAAGCCCGGCCCCCCAAAGCCTGGCCCCCCTGAGCCCCCCTCTCTCCTGCAGGCCGAGCACCTCATCTCTGAGCAGCAGCAGCAGCAGCAGCCCCCGGGGCCGGCGTGCCTGGAAGCGGCTCCCTCGCGCAGAGCGCTGCGGGTGAAGCGCTGTGACCCCGGGAACCCTCACCAGAAGTGGCGGTTCGGCCGGTACCACGCCGACTGAGGCCAGCCCGGCTGCAGGGACACCGCTGCAGCGGCACCGCTGCAGTGACACCGCTGCAGTGACACCGCTGCTGTGACACCGCTGCAGGGACACCGCTGCAGCGGCACCGCTGCAGTGACACCGCTGCAGTGACACCGCTGCAGTCACACCGCTGCAGTGGCACCGCTGCAGTCACACCGCTGCAGTGACACCGCTGCAGTGACACCGCGGGCGCAGCGGGACATCGGCGTGGCTGATGGCAGCCACCAAGAGGGAACAGCATCTCCAGTGGAGCTGGAACCCGTGGTGTGACACCGGAGCGTGGGGGAATCCAAACACCCAGAGCAGCACGGCTGCTGCGGCAGGGCCTGAACGGACCGGCATCGTTTTCCCTCACCGTAGGAGACTTTGGGAAAAACTCATTTTCTGTATTATTAAATGGAAATATTTTTTGAAGTCCCCATCCTACTGTAAGCAAATATCGCTCAGCTCCCCCTGACAGCAGCATAAGCTACAGAAATACTTCTGGGGCCCTTAAGTCTGTAAGCAGCAAATTGGGCTGCTCATTCCTCCATGGAAACTGGAAGTTTGTTGATCGATGCATCAAAAAAAGCCCAGCACCGTGTCTAGACTGGATCTGGCTGCAGGATCCATCCCTGCAGGACCCGTTGTGTGACGGGTGAGGATCGGGGTTCAGTGAGGAATCCCTTGCACATCAGTGAAACCCACATTTTGTCGTGGGAGGTGGATGTGGGTCAGTCCCACCCGGGGCTGCAGGGGAGGCCTGGAGAACTCCTTCCCTGTGCTGGGACAGTGAGGACACACGTGCCTTGCTTTGTTTGCTGGGGAGAGGAGCTGCTGGAGCACGGAACCAGGGGTTTATCCTGCTTCTTGCCAGAGGCACACTCCTGGGGCCAGCCTGGAAGCTCCTCTTCCCAGGGCAGCCAGGTTGTCCCACCCTGGGGCTGCCAGGACCCCAGCCATGTCCCCGAGCCCCTGTGGCTTTCTGGAATTCTCCAGAAGCCCTGCTGCTCCCCTCAGCCCAGGCTGCATGGCACAGCCAGGCTCTGCACGCCAAACTCCCTCTGGACTCTGTCACAGGCAAGTGTTTTCTGTATTGGGAAGTTCCTCATCTCCAAAATCCAGCCCCAGTCAGTGATGGGATGGATGTGATAGGATAATAAATTCTGTGTGCCCAGGTTGTTAGATCCAGGGCAAACACCAGACAGGGTTTGTAGCCCTGCTCCCGCTGGGAATTCCTGCTCTGGGATGCTGCTCCCTGTTCCCTGCGGGGCTGCAGTGTAGGCAGTGCTGTTCTCCTGCCCTGTGCTGAGCTGAGGAGCTGCTCCAGCCCCTGGGTCCCTGGGCTGAGCGTGGTGCCCGGTGCTCACGGTGAGCACAGCCGAGCCCCCAGCCCTGCCAAGCCCCCTCCCTCTCCTCTGGCTTTGCAGAGGGCCCCAGCATAGCTCTACCTCTGTCAGTGCTGACAGCATCTGACAGGCTCAGTCTGCCAAAATATTGACTGGCCCAACAGATTTTCCCAGTTGACTCCTATTCCAGCTGTCTTCCTGATTTTCTCTCCCTCCTTCAGCGCAGCTAGCCCGCAGTCACCATCAGAAAAATGACACAGACGTTGTTTGGGCAGTCAGCTCGTATCAGGAGCATGAATTTCATCAAATTCTGTTTGCTGACATTCAATCACTTGTCACCGAGCAGGCAGCAGGCAGTCATATGTCACGGTCACATCCCATCGCCAGCCCTGTCACTCGCCCGCCGCTCTGGAAATGCTCACTTCCCTGCTGGATCTTTGCTCAGAGACTGCTGCAGGCTGCCTGGGACTGCTGGCAGTGAGCTGGGGCCCTGCTGCCGCTGCTGCTGAGACCCTTCCCACGGCACCGGTCAGCCCAGTCTTCCAGAAGCGAGAGCATTTTTCCGGCAGGCTCGGCAGCCGCTGCTCCCCGCGCACCCGGGGCTGCGGCTCGGGGAGCACCCCGGGTGGGAACACCCGTGTGTGGGCTGGGACAGGAGTCTCTCATGTCCCCGGTGTTAAATTGTTAAAGAAATTTAAAAAAAAAAAAACAAAAAAGGAATAAGTGATAATAGATGAAGCTGCTTGCTCCGAGTGCAGCGTGCTAAATCTGACCAGCCTGGTCTCTCTCTAGGGGCTCCTCCCGAGTTACTGCCAGGCTGAACCGTAAATCATGGCCCCAGGAGGAGCCTTCAAAGCACCAGTTCCCTGGTTTCTGGCCTGTTGGCTCCTCGCTTGCTGCAGGAACTGAGCTGCTTGCTGCAGGCACAGCTGCTGCAGGTGTGGTGACAACTGTCACCAACACACTCCACGAGGCTCTGCTCTTACTCACCTGCCCTCAGCCCACACCCAGCACGGCAGAAATGAAGAAAAAGCATTTTCGGGCAGTGGTTGCCATGCCCTGGCCAGCACCTGCCTCAGAGTGCCTCTGCTCCGAGGGACAATTGCAATGGCTGCGTGTCCCCTGCCCTCGCAGGCTGGCAGCAGCTCCGTGCCCGGCTCCAGTGCTTGTCCCCTGCCCTCGCAGGCGGGCAGCAGCTCCGTGCCTGGCTCCCCTGCGTGTCCGACCCTCTGCCCAGGGGATGGCCAGAGGTCCGGCACCTCGTCTCTGCCCCTTCCTTGCCTGTGGACCCTGGCTGTCCACAGCACACCCACCGGAGGCCCAGGCAGGGTGGGCAGGGCTCTCCGGCCCCCCGAGCATCCCAGCACTTCTATTTTTCACTTTTTTAACCCAGAAAAGCAGGAGAGGGCACTGCGGCTCTCGGCTGAGCAAGCGCTGCGTTGCAGGGCAGGCACAAAGTGAGCCCAAGGCTCTGGAAGTCCTGGGGAGCCTTCCCCCCGAGAGCTCTGGGGGTGGTCACAGACACTGCTGGGGTCGGGGTGCTTTGGGTTGGAGGGGACCTCAAAGCCCATCCCTGCCACGGGCAGGGACAGCTCCCCCTGTCCCCGGCTGCTCCAGCCTGGCCCTGGCGGGGACCACCACAGCCACAGCTCCACGGGGCCGTGTCACCCCCGAGCAGCTGCCAGCGGGAACAGACCCACAGGATAAGTTGGTACAAGCAAAGCTCAGAACTTCCCCAGGCCAAGGAGCAAACAAACAAGTGTGAATGGCACAATGAGGGCTATGTCTGCTGGCACAATGCAGAATTGCCCCCTATTATTTGCACGTTGCCAATAAATAATTGCCTTTCTGTAGAACAAGAAAAGTCAAAGCGATATTCAGTGCTGCTGGAGATGTAAAACTAATCCTTAAAACGGCACTTAGGGCTGTAGGAGGCCCTGTATAACTCCTTCCTTACCTCCTCTTCCTTGGCAGCTGTTCTCAGCTTTCCCAGATGCTTTCTGGGATGACAAGTGCAAAGCTAAGTCCCAACTCCAGACAAATCTGACCGTGAAACAGTTTAAAAAGATTGCCACCACTCCATGGTGCTTACACAAATATTTTTCAAAATGGAGAAGGGTAATATCCAGGTGAGACAAAAATAATGGATTAAAACTCACCTGGTTTTGACAAAATAATCTTTAAAATTTTGCACCTAAACTTAGGATGAAAATCAAGACACCTGAGAGAGTCTGACCTGGTGGCCTTGGGACAATAGGTGCTCCTGGCAGTGGCCAGGCTCACCAGCTGCACACAGGCACAGGCAGGCAGGTGCCAGCCCAGCTGCTGCCCCTGGTGCCAGCCAGACCCCGCTGTGCCTCTGGAGATGGCACTGGTCACCGGTGCCACTGCCCCAGAGCCACCCCGGGCTGGCAGGACAGGCACCTGGCCAGCCAGCACCAACAGCAGTGCCCACAGCTGCCCCGGGGCTGGTGGCACTCAGCTGGGGATAGGCAGTGCTGGCAGAGAGCGGCTCTCGGGCACCAGGACAGACAGACTGCAACCCAGAGCGGGGGTGGCCAGCAGCCGTCCCTCTTGGGGACAAGGTGACAGAGGGACCAGAGGTGGCCAGCAGCCGTTCCTCTTGGGGACAAGGAGACAGAGGGACCAGAGGTGGCCAGCAGCCGTCCCTCTTGGGGACAAGGTGACAGAGGGACCAGAGGTGGCCAGCAGCCGTCCCTCTCGGGGATGAGGTGACAGAGGGACCAGAGGTGGCCAGCAGCCGTTCCTCTTGGGGATGAGGTGACAGAGGGAGCAGAGGTGGCCAGCAGCTGTCCCTCTTGGGGACGAGGTGACAGAGGGAGCAGAGGTGGCCAGCAGCCGTCCCTCGTGGGGACAAGGTGACAGAGGGACCAGAGGTGGCCAGCAGCCATCCCTCTCGGTGCCCCCTGCCCTGGCAGTGTCACAGTGCCACGCTGCCAGCTCCTTACAGCACGGCTGGCAGCGTGGGGCAGCCAGAGGGGCCCCAGCCCGCTCCAGCCTGCCGTGGCAGAGAGAAGAAAGGAGGATAACCCTTAAATCCAGCGGGTGTGTATTTAGCAAACTGATTATTTATTTTCCTGCGCTATGGAGGCCTCTGCCCCCGTCAAAGCCAAGATGTTAAATTTTCACAGTGTATTATAAATCATATACAAAAAGAGAAAAGCGGTGACCCTGTGTTGTGTGAAGAGACACGTTTTGGGGGAACAAATAAAGCCAAGCCCAGAGCAAAGGCTCGGTGCGTCAGGCGCTTCCCCCTCAGTTCATAAGTGCATCATGGACTCGAACTCGTCGATCCGCTGTTTGGTGTTTCCTTTGCGGATCCTCCGGTAGGAGATTGTGTTGTACCTGGAGTAGCTGTGTCTGGAGATGTCGTTCTTCTTCCCCAGGCCGGGCGGCTCCCCCGCTTTCTGCAGCGGGGAGTTGCAGCCGGGGCTGCCCGGGGCCGAGGGCTGCTTGCCGCTGTCTCGGGACGCCTCGCTGTTCTCCTTCTTGATTTCAATCACCTGAACTTCATCCTCCTCGGTGTCCTCCTCCTCCTCCGCCTCCTCCTCCTCCTCTGCCTCCTCGGCCGCGTTCCCTCTGGGCTCGGCGCTGCCCGGGCCGGTCTCCGCCACCGCCCAGCCGGTCCCCGCCGCCGTGCCGGTCCCCTCCGTGCCGGTCCCCTCCGTGCCGGTCCGCTCAGTGCCGGTCCCCGCCGTGCCGGTCCCCGCCGTGCCGGTCCCCTCAGTGCCGGTCCCCTCCGTGCCGGTCCGCTCAGTGCCGGTCTCCGCCGTGCCGGTCCCTGCCGTGCCGGTCCCCGCCGTGCCGGTCCCCTCCGTGCCGGTCCCTGCCGTGCCGGTCCCCTCCGTGCCGGTCCCCTCCGTGCCGGTCCCTGCCGTGCCGGTCCCCTCCGTGCCGGTCCGCTCAGTGCCGGTCCCCGCCGTGCCGGTCCCCGCCGTGCCACCCGGCCCTGCGCGACACGGGGGACACGGCGGCTGCGGGTGCGGCACCACCGGCTCCTGCCCCCAGATTCGCCATCCGGGATGACTCGGGGAGCCTCGCGCGGCCAGCCGGACCCGACACCGG